TGACCCAGCAGCTGCAGATAAGAAAAACAAGATTTTATTCCTTGCTGGGTTTTCACATTTCCTTTGTACAAATGCTCTCCGGGTGGGGGCCCCCCAGCCCCTCCGCACCCCTCCTTTCCCCAAGTCTGCAGCCCCCCCAGCAGAGGCAGGGTCTAGTCCGAATCTGACAGGATGATGATCTCCTCCGGGTCACACTGGGTTGCTACGCTGGCCTGCGGAGAGAGCAGGGCAAGGACACAGGGTCAGGCCACCTCTCCGCACCCCCGGACCTCCCGCCCCCCCTGCCCCGCTGGCCCCTCACCTTGCAGGCCTTGGGCAGGTAGCGCTGACACTGCTGCGGACTGCCCTGGGAACTGCTGACCAGGCTCTGGAAGGGTGAGTCGGCCCGGGTGGAGTCAGGCAGGGAGCTGCCAGGTGGCCGGCCTGTGAGCAGCAGCTCTAAGTCCTCCTCCTCAGAGCCCACGCTGTGAACCTCCACACATCCACTGCCAAAGGCAGGAGAGAGGGTGTCAGGAAGAGAGGCAGCCTCTGGGACCCAGCCCCCTTCTCCCAGCCCAATTCCTAGCAAGCCAAGAGGGAGGGGCCCTTGGAAGATGCTGGCACCCCCTTCACCCACAGGAGCTCGGATGGGGCCACCAGACGCCGACAGTGGCTGAGGCCCGTGGCTCTCCATCAGGAGCAGGACGAGAGGGAGGGACCCACCATGTAGGGTGCCTGTTCACCTGCCACCCAGCGCACCCCCTTCCTCGCATGCTGCCTGGCCCCCACCTGTCACTGCAGGGCAGCTCCCCACCTCCCCTGCCCCAATGCTGCCGTTGAAGCTGGTGGAGCTGATGACGCTGCCCCCGTTCTCCAAGGGCTGGGCCAGGGGGCTTGCAGGGGCAGATGGCCGCCTTCTCTTGGCCGAGGGCCGAGTCCGAAGCCCCACGTCCCCCGTGCTGCCTCGCTCTTGTTTCACCCCCAGGCTCGCAGGCTCCGCCTGGGAAACCTGCTCAGTCCGGGAAGACCCCGTCTCGGGAGAGGGGGGACCCAGTGGGGTGGCCTCAGAGGGCTCTGGGGACAAAGGGACAGCCTTCGGGGTGGCCTCAGAGCCCCCAGGGATGTGGGGGGAGGGCGGAGGCGTCTCGCTGAGTTCCAGAGGCAGTGTCTCAATCTCCAGCACAAACAGCTCCTGTTCTGGGCTGGCCAGTGCCCTTTCCCCCTCCTGCTGTTTGTGGGGCAGAGGCCCATCGCCCTCTGCATGGGGCAGGGACTCCTCCTCCTCCTCCTCCTCTTCTTCCTCCTCCTCCTCCTCGTCATCATCTTCATCCTCCCCGCCTGATGAGCAGGGCAGTGGCTCCACGCCCAACTCCATGCACTGGTCGTCCTGGTCTCGGGCCAGGTCCTCGTCTGCTGCTTCCGTGTCTAGGGGAGCGGTCACAGCATAGAACGAAGCTGGGAGAGAACCCAGGTGCCCTGGCTCCTAGCCCCCGCCCCCGATCCTCCCAGTACCTAGATGCCCTGGCTCACAGCCCCCCGCGCTCATTA